ACCCCACACCCTTAAAAATCCAGAGTATGCCAGAAACATGACCTTTTCTAGATGTTTGCAAAGTATCCAGAAATGTTCTTGAAGAGGAGATAGGAAGTTCAAAGGAAGGACTAACTCCTAAAGCTGTTCCTGTTGCAGTTAGAATCATAGAATAGTTTGGGTTGGAAGGGACATTTAAAGTCCAACCTCCCTGCAATGAGCAGGGACATTTTCAACTAGATCAGGTTGCCCAGAGCCCCATCCAACCTGGCCTTGAATGTTACCAGGGATGGGGCATCTACCACCTCTCTGGGCAACCTGTTCCAGTGTTTCACCACTCTCATTATAGACAATTTCTTCCTTATATCTAGTCTAAATCTACCCTGTTTTAGCTTAAAACCATTACTCCTTGTCTTATTGCAACAGGCTCTTACTAGAAAGTCTGTCCTCATCTTTCTTATAAGCCCCCTTTAGGTACTGGAAAGCCACAATAAGGTCTCCCTGGAGCCTTCTCTTCTCCAGGCTGAACAACCCCAACTGTCTCAGTCTGTCTTCATAGGAGAGGTGCTCCAGCTCTCTGATCATCTTCGTGGCCCTCCTCTGGACTCGCTCCATCAGCTCCATATCTTTCCTGTGCTGAGGAACCCAGAGCTGGATGCACTACTCCAGGTGGGGTCTCATGAGAGTGGCGTAGAAGGGGAGAATCACCTCACTCGACCTGCTGGTCATGCTACATCCACTGATGTAGTCATTTCATCATAGAAGGCCACTAGGTTGGTCAGGCAGGACTTGCTCTTGGTGAAGCCATGCTGGCTGTCCTCCATGTACCTTAGCATAGCTTCTAGCAGGATCTGTTCCATGATCTTCCCAGGCAGAGAGGTGAGGCTGACAGGTCAGTAGTTCCCAGGGTCCTCCTTTCTACCCTTTTTAAAAGTGGGTACAATTTTCCCTTTTTCCAGTCACAAGGGACTTCACCTGACTGCCATGACTTTTCAAGTATCATGGAGAGTAGCTTGGCAGCTACATTGGCCAATTCCCTCAGAACTCTGGGATGCATCTTATCAGGTCCCATGGGCTTGTGTATGTTCACGTTCCTCATGATGGTCACAAACTGGATCTTCTCTTACAGTGGGAAGGACTTGGCTCCCCCTGTCCCCATCTTGCGGTCCATTCAAGAGGTGTGGGAAGAGAAGTTGCCGGTGAAGACTGAGACAAAAAAGTTGTTGAGTACCTCAGCCGTAGTTTGTGTTAATTCTTAATTTGTGTCTCCTATACATTATGCTGAAAGCTGAGTACATAACGTATCAAAACATGGTTTTAAACTGGTGAGACTGTTGGACAACAGACCAGCTGTGTGCAAGAGAGCATTGCCTCCTGCCTAGTTGGGACTGGAGACTTCTTTGGGAAGAGGCTGTGGGATAGACAGATAAAGCGCTGCTGTTACCTTGCCACAGTATTCTCAGTCCTCTTCATAAAGGAGTTTGTGTTTGATTTTTGTGGAGCAGCATACCTGTATAAGCAGAGAATTTGGTCATAATGCCATTAATGTTTCTCCCCCAGCAGTCCTTTGTTACAAGGGAAGTCCAGCTGTCTTAAAAATTGTGCAGGTAAAGCTCACGAGTATCGCTGGATTTGCAAATAGCATATGAATTTGTTCTTGGATTTACAAATAGCATATGTTAATGAATACTAATTAATCTTTCCACAAAAAAAAATTATGAAAATCTGATAAGTCTCATGAAACTTGGCCTTCAAGCCTAAAATCAAATTATTGAAGACAGTCAAGAAATTTTAAGATTTAAGGTGGTATGTGACATTTTTGAATAGACAACTCAGTCATTTCCTAACAGTTTAGTACTTGATTTGACCCTGGTAGTGTTTAAGAGTAAATTTTATGTATTGATTTTGTAGAGAGATACTGATCTAGAACGCAGGCACGTATGCTTCCAAGCAGAATCTGGAGAACGGTACAGTGCAGGTGAGGATGCAGTGGTTTAGGGTGATAAGGTAAAGCTGGGGAGACACCAGAAGGAAGAGCCCCTTGCATTGTGTTTGAGGGTAGGAGCAGAATGAGAGTCAGCAAAAGGCCCGAGGGAAGAACATACCTTACACTGCTGGCCCAGGACAAAAAGAGTGAGTTCCATGGAACTGTGGATCCGAGACCATCGGTACCATTTGATTGGTTGGGTTTATAAGGAAAAACTGTTTAAGCAAGGAAGAGGCTCCTGTGAACTCATCTTGCAAGAGAGCAGTTCATGCTGCTGTTGGATCATAGAGGTCACATGCAAGGATGACACACAGGTCATTTACATGCGAGGCAGCATTTGAAATTGTGTCCTTGCTGGATTAGCATTGCTTGATGTGTCCTCCCCTACAATATTACCTTCTGGAGACCAGTTCTTCAGTCTTTTCAACAAGTTTCTTTTATAGCCCATCCTAAAATGGAAGAGATGAGAGATAAGAGTTTAAAGATCCCCTGCTTGCTTCAGAACACGATGGCTTTGCTTCGCTCACTTAAAGCGGAAGCACCACATGCATTTCCCCACGCCCAGGAGCCATGCACGTGGTTTCTGTATGGCAAGAAAAGGCCAGCAAGGCAGAGGTGCTCTCTCTTTTCACCCCTGCTCAGAGCTGGCTACCTCTCACTTATGCAGCAAGAAATGCTTTGGCATCTGTGCAGCTCCTCCTAGAATAGCTGTAGCAAGATTAAATTAAAAAAATTTCCCTTTTCTCTTGACCATAGTGGGTCACTTTGTCTTCCCCCTTCTTTTTCATCTTAATTAGATCAGGAGGAGGTAATCTGCTGAATGCAACCCCTGACACCTGTTACTGTACAGGAGAGACTCCTTATGTTCCAGGAGGATTACCACAAGCCTGATTAGAGCCCCGTGAACCCAGGTCCTGGGCACTATGAAGGAATCTTATCATAAATATAAGGCATCTAGGAAAGATTTCCAATGCATACCTACATATTCTGACAAGATCTCTTATACATTGGCACATTTTCTGTGTGCCAGAGTTTTAAAGTATTTAAAAATATGTATCTAGCAAGATTTACGAAAGTTCCCTTTAAAAAAAAAAAAAAGGCAATTCTAGACTCAGTCCTTTTTTAACTTGCTGTCTCCCTCTGTATAAAGTAGCCATCACAATACTGCTGCCAGAAGAGGTATTTTTTTATTACATCTATTGACGTACTTTAGCTTGCAGTTTTATCAGAGACAAAGTACTGCTGGGCTTTAGCTTGCTGTTGAAGGTGAAACCCAATCTACAGTAGCCTAATTTCACTGAAGAGAAAAAGAGACTATTTTATTGTTAAAAATCCCTTTGGAAATACCTCAGCAATTTTGTTTTGTGAAACAAATAATGAAACAAAAAGTATAATTTTGCTTTAGGGTGTTGTGAGGACAAGTGATTGATATTTGTAAATGTCTCCATGAAAATCATTCAGGTTACAAGACTATTTCACCACAAAACAAGGCCAGAACAATTAGAGATTCATGAAGCAAACACACAGCTTTTCACAGGGGAAAAAAATTAACTTTTTCGGAATCTGTTCAGGATGAAGTGTTACACTGCCTGTGCTCTCGGAGCACAGAGGAAGGGTCTCAGTGCGTGCAGTCCCCAGAAGTGCAGGACCAAGCCCGAGGCAGCGAGCCCTGCTGAGGCTCAGCTGGACATTAGCACAACTAATTCCAGCCTCCAGACTGGAATTGGCTCGGAGCCTGGACAAAATACCTTGTAAACATACCTTTAGAAGGAGCCCTTCCTGGTGCATTGTGTTGCGGAGAGGTTGTATCTTCTCCCCATCCCTTCTCCAGGCTAGTGGGGAATCTCATTTCTGCCATCAGGTTCCTTCAGACCAGAATTTTCCCCAAGATGGAAGCCCTTCTTTTAGAAGCAGCTGATGGTAGTTCAAGGACAGCATGCAGAAAACCAGTTATAAACATAACCAAAATTCTTATGTCAACAAAGCAATGAAAAAAACCACCAAAAACCCTTCAAACACCTTCCTCCCTGCCCCCTTCCCACAATCAAAACACACTGAAGAACATTAGGGTCTAATGCTCGGACTTTCAGCCTGTAAACTCTAAATTTCATAAATTCTAAGGGGAGGAGGAGGATGAAGAAGGGGAGCAGAGGTGCTAGGAAAGGCATCAAGAAAAGCAAAATCATTTACCCGATTCAGAAACCTACAGATGAGGATTTTTCAAGTGATCTACAACTCCACTGGAAAGCAATAGACCTTGTGGCTTGTGACTTCCTGCTTACTGCTTTTAGCTGTTAAAAGTTCAAGTGAAAAGGTAGTGGCTTTCACTAAAAAGAATTTGAAATAATAATGAAACATGTCATTTTCCCAGCAAAAGTTTTATATATTGGAGGAGTCAGGTTTTTTAGTTAAAAATAATCTAGCAAGCACACACCAGGCAAATAGGGCTGTCTGTCTGTTCTGCACAGGCACAATGGTGTCCTGACCCCATTAGCTGTTAGGGGGCTGTAAAGTACGTACATCAATTTTACACCCAGCTGCAGGGTATCCAAAACAGCCTTAATCAGAGGTTTCCCCAGCCTCTTTTGGCAGAACAGGTAACTGGATTTATTCTGACTTTTAATAACCTGCATTGTGGCTATGCATCCTTTTGCGCCTAGGAAGCGCCGTAGCCAGCTTAAAGTGTCAGGGTTCATTCTGAGATCTGCTTGATAGACCAACCCACCTCAAAGGAGAGGATTGAAGCAGACCTCTTTAATTCAACAAGTAGCCTTTGGAGGTGCAGAGCAGGAATAAACCTGATCCGCTTCCTTGAAAATGGAAAAGACAGGGGCTGCAGAGGGTCAGGCCTCCCAGAAGCTCAAACAATCCAGATTTTCCCTTTCAAATTTTGTGGGTTGGCTCTACTTACTTATGAGACTGAATCGCTAATAAAATTAATTAGAAGCATCATAAGTTGGTCATCCCAAGAGTATTTCTACTTGAAGCAGTCATTAATTATTATGACTAGGATTGTCTGTCTTTCTATTTATAGGCTGGCCATGGGCGACACTGACTGTTCTTGGGTTCCTGTACTGCTATTCTCACGTCGGAATTGAATGGGAGCAAACATACGCTGTGAATTAGGAATGACGCAGAACGATGCTTTTTAAGGCAGGTTAATGGCTCTTCTACACTGGATATCCTGTCTGCAGAAGGATGCACCAGACCCAAGTATTTGGTTAATGTGTTAAAACCAAAAGCTTGTGTAATTGATTCTGGATTGTGAATGCAGGAATTGAACCAGAAACAATGATGGGCTGGGGCAAAATTATGAAGCATTTTGAATTATGTTATTTTTATAAAACAGCATCTCTGTGACTCTATGTACATTGGAAGCATGCATCTCAGATTAGGTATTTTATATATGTTGAGGATTGTGTTTGTTTCTTCCAATGTTTTGCTGCCTATTTTGAGATATTGAAGAAAAAAGTTTCCTACTTTGCAGAATTCAAAAAGCCCAATCTCTCTCAACCTCTGTCCAGGCTGTGCCCTGCACTTCTTATGTTACTCCATGAAGGGCATGATGCTCATCAGTTGTTCTTGATTGCTTTCTGATACAAGTTAGAACTTTTTTGCTATTCTCACTGACTGCAGTAGTTCAGCCTTAAGCTACTTTTCTACCTACTGTAGCAAAGTCTGCTTTTTCTCTTTAATGTCTTCATTTAAACTTTCACCTTTAAAACAACACCCTTTTTTTGGTAGTCTTAGGAATGATTTTATTTGTTTCTTTAAAAACTGGGAGCAGGGAGGCAGGTCATTTCTTTTTAATCAAATATGACCTTACAGCTTCTTGGGCTCCAAGTGCTCTCTGCCTTGTATTAGAGCTAAAGCATATAATATTACCTTTATTATGAGGTGAATTCCACCTTCAGGGGAACTGTTCAGTCTCCCTCTTGTATTTTTCTGTTACAAAAGGAGATAACCCCAGTCTGGCTGAATGGTAAATCTGTTCAGCCTGCTTCATTCTCTGGTATCCAGGCAATCAGCTCCTGCAATATTAAAGACACCCTAGGAGTAGCATTTTAAGACCTTTAAAAAAACCCAGAATGGTCCAATACAGTGGGATCAAATTAGCCAGAGCTCCACGCCCTTTGCCCACAGCCAGACCTGTTTGTTAGAGCTGCATCTTTGCCAAAAGACCGGGTTGCCCAGAGCTGGGCAGGTCCTGTCTGCAAGCATCGGGGCTCTGGGAGGGTGTTAGCACTTCTGAGGGAAGGGGGAACCCCGCTCACATCTGGCACAAGGGGGTGTTTTTTAACCTGATATTGAAGAGCAGCCAGAAGACCTTTAGTCTTCCTAAAGATAGACATTCCCCCTACGCCTGGCGAAAGGCCCCCTCCTGGAGAGGGGCTTCTTCCAAGAGCAGCTTCCTGTGCCCAAAGCAGAAGGACTCCTGTCAAAACTTGTTCCGTGCCCCCCACCAGCAACCATTTCAGCCTGTTGGGAGGCACAGTTAGTGCTGTCCATCACTCCTGCAGCCTCAGCCAAGTCTGATGTAGCTTATCCCTTCAACAAGAAATTCAGTCCCTGAGATAGGCTTCAGCTTAGTGCCTGCATTTCTGATGTTTCTGCTGCTCAGAACTATGGCAGCCCTCTTTTTCCCCTTCATTGATTCCTGAAGAAATAAGGGCAGAGGCTTCAGCTCTCTACCCATCCAGAGACTAAGCCAGTCTCTTGCTGTTTCAAAGCAGAATCTCCAGCCCTTTATGTTTAGGGAAAAAACCCCCCATGAGAAGGCCATGATTCCCCCTGGAAGTCACTTCTGGGAGATACTGTGGACTGTTGAAAATAAGACTTACCTTGAATGCTGCCTGGCCAGAGACATGGCCCTCCTGATTGACTTACTTAGGATGATTGCAGGGATCCTCTCAGCCACACAGAAGTGGCGCTCACAGCCTCTGAATCTACTGAAGGGATCTGAGATTGGCCTCCATTTTGGAGTAGAACCGAGCTAAGGGCAAGAACTTCATCAAACTTTGTAATTAAGTGGAATTAGCATTGGAGTGAAAAGTCATGAGTCTGTTGGTCAGTCTTGTCAATTACCGTTATTACCTGAAGCAAGAGAATTAGATTCCAATTTGTATGCATGCAAAACTTCCTACTCCTATACGGAAATGATCTTGCAGCTCATCTAGAGTATGCTTATTTCTGAACTAAAATTGTTTTATATTGTTTTTCAGTGCTTTATACATCTTTCATAATTTTGTATCCTTTTCTGTTTCAATAAACAAAGCTGAAACTGACTGTTGGCTTGAGAACTGTGTCAGAAAGCTACTGTTTGGTGTAAGAAACAATCAATGCTCTGCTGCTGTGAAGAAACTGCTGCGCACAGGAAGGCTGCAGGATGGGTGCGGTGCAGACTGGTCACTGTTATCCCTCTTGTGTACTGCACGGAACATGCATTCCCTAACAGTGTGAGTTTAAACAGCAAATACACCTTTTGTAGATGAGTTAAGGTGAGACTTCAGCATCTGAAGCTTCTGAGAATGCTCACCAGGAGTAGTGTGTGTAAGTAAAATGATGCTTCCCTTTAGACTCTTGCTACCCTGGCCAGTCAGGAGTATGACGTGTGCTTGCACAATTTAAGAAAAAGATACTATTTCTTATAGTTTAAATATCATTTGAGAAATAAATAGATGTCCTTCACACTCAGTCTTTCCAGGGGTTCTTTGTCCTGCTACTTTGAAACACGTATTTCAAGACCAAGCCCACTTGCTCTGTCCTGCTTACAGACCACTGGTAGGCAGTGCTTGGTGAGACACACAGCTCTGTGAATAGCTCAGTTACACCTTCAGCTTGGCGCCATATTCCTCAGCGTGACCAGAGAATTGACTCTTTGTTATCATGTGGCACCTGGTCTAATTGAAATTATGTGGTAGCCAGAAGTACCATCCTCCAGGCAAGTCCTCAGTGGCAGTCCTAGATGGGTGGGAGCTTGCCAGGCCTAGAAGAGACTGAAGGAGACACCTGACTTACCAAAGAAAAGCATTGGTTAGGAGACTTCCAGACGCTAAGGAAAAGCTAGTTAAGGGACCTAGGAAACAGTTAACAAAAAAATTGCCAAAGAAAGAGCAACATTGGCCATTTTGAATGGAAGGGGAGACACTTCTAGTCTGGTGGGGGGTATGTGCGTGTGAGGACACTACTTCTGATAGACCCTAAAAGTCACAGGAGTGCAGTGACCAAAAAAACCCCAGGCGGTGGCTCTGAAATGGAGCTGGACAGACATGTGGTGGCTACTGACAAAATAGTTTACAAGTGATTTTGAAAAAACCGCCAAAGTAACTAGCAGGCATAGCGTATCGCAATATACGGCTTTAATGGCTGCCACAAAGCTGTAGCAATCAAGTCTCTCGCGCACACACACATGTCCTCCCCCTAACCCCCGCCTCGGCTGGCAAAGCCCTCCCAGCCATCGTTACTGGGGACGGTCAGATCGTGCTAAGTGGCTCTTTCTTTAATGCCGCATTGATTAGAGGGCAAGCAAGGCTTTGCTCACCTATCTGGGAGCTGAAAGCAGCTTAGCTGGAATAACCAGCTTACCACAGGTCAGAAGAAAAACAGCTTAACTAGAAAACCTGCAGCAATTTTTTTATTAATCGTAGCAGTAGCACATGGCCTGTCCTTTTTCTTAATTTCCTTAATTTCTGCTAACCCTTGAGCCACTTGCTGCCCACACTGGCTAAGGGGAGGCTTGTCTTCCTCAGGCACGCTGGCAAAATTTTCCTCAAGGAGCTGTGAAGAGCGAGGAGATTGCTACGCATGGTCTGTCACAGCTTTTCCTGCCTGCACTTTATAGTCCATCCCTCCCCTTCCCCGAGTAGTGCTGCCTGTTACTGCTTTGCAAAATAACTCTCTCAGCGCACAGTCACTTGGTTAGCCAGGGCGTATAGTGTAATCCCGTGGGGAGAGCTGAAATACTGCTTGCCATAAAGCCAGTGAAGAATGCTGAGGCTGTAACACCTTTGAGGAATGAGGGGAAATCTGTATTACAATAGGTCTTTCTTGTATTAAGGGACCTCTGAGCTCAACCCTCTCTAGTGGTCATCTCTGCCAACCCCCTTCAGATGTGGATGCACAGGGGTGTTGCACGCGCATGCACCCAATTCAGCAGTTTCACCAGGAGCTGCTTGTGGAGCGGTTTCTCCATTAATTGCACGTAAAAGGAAGAAAAGATGAAGACAACTATTTTATTTGAGATTTCCACTTTCAGCAAATGCAATCATGTCAAGCACAGGTCCTGCCAGAGCCTCTGAGAATGAGTCCCAGCTGCCCGTGCCATGAGTCACCTACACTGGAGCTTTCTGCAGATGGTCCAACTCAGCCCAGGCATCCCCAAGTACTGGCAGCTCCAAGTTTGAGAGGCTTTCAGGGATGCCACCAATGCCCAAGAGGAGAGGAAAAGGCAAAGAAATTGTCTAACGGATCTGACCCACGTACTTTAGACGCTATGCAAGAGACTGAGCTGAAGAGCATCAAGGCCCGGCTTCCAGGCAGCCTTGGTGCCGCTGCATTCATGGCAGCTCCCACAACTTTAGCGACGTTAAGTCCTCCATCCGCGTATCAGCATCGCTGGCCATGGAAACTACTGCTCCAGGGAGAAACAGCCACGTGTGATCACTACCCAATGAAGATAACAACACGATGAAAAATAAGCAGCGGCATGAGTCAGGGGAATCAAACACGCTTACAGATGCTCGAAAGACTCCTCATTCCTTATGCTTGGAGTCACAAAGGTCTGGGTGAGAGCAAGTTATGCTAACACCAGGTTTTAACAGGCAAATTTTTGACCACAGCTAGGCTGCACCACCTTTCCTCATATCCAGGGCCAGTTTGGTCTAAGTGTAAACTACCTTAGGGACCTGCATACCGGCTCCTTTCAGAAATGGGTCAAATGAAACGGGGTACCTGCGGCATACACCTTCCCCAGCAACGGTCAGACTACAGGTAATGAAAGCGCATCACTGGCTACAGGGATTTAAGAAAAACTTTACATATGGTTGGGTAGCTGAGGTGAATCATTGCTGACAGGTGCATCAGCCAACCACTGAAAAATAAAAGTTTACTGAAGAAGTAATATAGAA